GGGGGACAAGCATGGCAATGGAAAATCCCTGTGTTCAATAACTGGTTGGTGGTTGACCTACCCCTCTGAAAAATTATGGAGTGAAAGTCAGTTGGGATGATGACATTCCCAATATATCCCCAACCATATATATATATAGCCCATATTTCATCCCATAACATGTTCCAAACCACCAACCAGATGAATAGTTCGAATCAGAAGTAGCACCTTTGATCATCCACTGCCCAGCTATCCATGATCCCACCGTCGCGATCGGTCCTTTTCTCTGCGAAACGATAAGGGTCGACCCCGAGCGCTGCAACTTGATCGTTTGAAACAGATTTCCTCCGATGTAGGTTTGGTATAGCGTCCACATGAAAAAAACAAGATGAAGCCCACGAACCCGAATGCTCACACGTATGTTAATGGTACAGATGTCAATACACATGGTTATGCAGTCACGCACAATACCTTTCTGCAATAGTTTATTTGAACAGTCTTGTACATGTTTCCCTTGTTACCAGTCCGCAGTGTGGAGTGGAAAGTGTAGAGTGTGGAGTGTGGAGTGTGAAGTAAGGAGTGTGGAGTGTAAAGTGTGGAGTGGGGAGTGTAGAGTGTGTAAAGTGTAGAATGCGGAGTGTAGTGTAGAGTGTGGAGTATGGAGTGTAAAGTGTAGAGTGTGGAGTGTAAAGTGTGGAGTGTAAAGTGTGGAGTGAGGACAGTAAAGTGGAAAGCGTGGAGTGTAAAGTGTGGAGTGTAGAGTGTATAGTGTAGAGTGTAAAGTGTAGAGTGTGGAGTGTGGGGTGTAAAGTGTGGAGTGTAAAGTGTAGAGTGTGGAGTGTAAAGTGTGGAGTGTAAAGTGTGGAATGAGGAGTGTAAAGTGTGGAGTGTGGAGTGTAAAGTGTGGAGTGTTGAGTGGAAAGTGTGGAGTGAGGAGTGTAAAGTGTGGAGTGTTGAGTGGAAAGTGTGGAGTGTGAAGTGTGGAGTGTAAAGTGTGGAGTGAGGAGTGTAAAGTGTGGGGTGTGGAGTGAGGAGTGTAAAGTGTGGAGTGTAAAGTGTGGAGTGAGGAGTGTAAAGTGTGGAGTGTGGAGTGTGGAGCGTAAAGTGTAGAGTGTGGAGTCTGGAGTGGAAAGTGTAGAGTGTGGTGTGTAGAGTGTGGAGTGTGGAGTGTAAAGTGAGGAGTGTAAAGTGTGGAGTGTGGAGTGAGGAGTGTAAAGTATAAAGTGTGGAGTGTGGAGTGTGAAGTAAAGTGTGGAGTGTGGAGTGCGGACTGTGGAGTGGAAAGTGTAGAGTGCGGAGTGTAAAGTGGGGAGTGTGGAGTGGAAAGTGTAGAGTGTAGTGTGAAGAGTGGAGTGTGGAGTGTAAAATGTGAAGTGCGGAGTGTAGAGTGGAAAGTGTAGAGTGTGGAGTGTGGAGTGTAGAGTGTAAAGTGTAGAGTGTAAAATGTAGAGTGTGGAGTGTAGAGTGTAAAGTGACGATTGTAAAGTGTGGAGTGTAAAGTGTAGAGTGTGGAGTATGGAGTGTAAAGTGTGGAGTGTGGAGTGTGGAGTGGAAAGTGTGGAGTGTGCAGTGCGGAGTGTAACGTAAGGATCGTGAAATGGAAAGTGTAAAGTGTAAAGTGTGGAGTGCGGAGTGAAGAGTGCAAAGGAATGTCGAGTGTAAAGTGTGGGGTGTGGAGTGAGGAGTGTAAAGTGTAAAGTGTGAAGAGTATGACAACCTGCTTGGAAACATTCGAAAAGGTTAGGTTTTCCAGCTTCCCCAATAGACACGGCGACGCCACAGGAAAACCAGAGACTCGAGACGAGACACGTGGGTGCAGAAAAACGAGCATTTCGTGCGAGACTTCCTCCAATTTTGACATTTTCCACATGTTATCAAACAGGTTGGAATGTCAAAAAGTGCCACGCCTGCCACGCAAAACGGCATGACAACCTGCTTGGAAACCTTCGAAAAGGAGAGGTTTTTCATGGTTTTGCAGCTTCCCCCATAGACACGGCGACGCCACAGGAAAACCAGCGACTCGAGACAAGACACGTGGATGCAGAAAAACCAGCATTTCGTACGAGACTTCCTCCAATTTTGACATTTTTGACACATTATCAAACAGGTTGGAATGTCACAAAGTGCCACGCCTGCCACGCAAAACGACATGACAACTTGCTTGGACACATTCGAAGAGGAGAGGTTTTCCAGCTTTCCCCATAGACACGGCGACGCCACAGGAAAACCAGAGACTCGAGACGAGACACGTGGATGCAGAAAAATCAGCATTTCGTACGAGACTTCCTCCAATTTTCATAGTTACCAACATGACAAAAGGAGAAGTTTTGCAGCTTCCACCATAGACACGGCGAGGCCACAGGAAAACCAGACATGCCAGAAGAGACAAGTGGGAGCACCAAAACGAGCATTTCGTGCGAGACTTCCTCCAAGTTTCACACTTTGTAGCTTCAAAATCGACGTTTTCCTACGAGTTTTCCTTAGAACGTGAAAATGTGTAACCTCAAAATCGATGTTTCGTGCGAGGCTTCCGTCAATTTTCAGCACATGTCAGAAAATGCCACGCCTGCCACGGAATTTGCACCTTGTCGCCACTTGACGCAGCCCTGCCAATGCGATTTGCAAAAAACACGCAACATGACACGTCTAAAGCGCTGCGCCTGCCACGAAAAATGGCGATGGACACGTCCAAAGTGCTGCGCCTGCCACGAAAACTGCAACACATCTTCTGAAAACGTCGCAAAAGTATTGCGCCTGCCACACAAAACGACTTTCGACACGTTCCAGAACACGTCTGAATGTCACGAAGTGCCACGCCTGCCACGCGAAACGAAGCAACGACACGTCTGAAACCTCCAAAAATTACCACCTCTGCAGAACTTCCCATAGGCACGGCCATACGGTCCTCGCGCGGACGGTTGCGAGCGGTTGCGAACGGTTGCGAACGGTTGCGAACGGTTGCGAACGGTTGCGAACGGTTGCGGACGGTTGCGGACGGTTGCGCTCGCGAACGCAACGTCGAGCGAACACACCCTCAACCCCCAGACCCCCAGAGTGAAACGGGAACCCTTGCTACGCATTCGGGAAAAAGATTGTACCCTAGTGGCCCCCATAGAATTCCACTGGACGGTGTATGTTTGTAATCTATACATATATATATACATATATATATATACATATATATATATACATATATATATGTAGTCCATTTGACAATCCAAAATGGGATAATTATCATAATCCATTGGAATTGGAGGTACCCAAAAATCTCACACAAACCCAGGCCTCATCTAGTCACCGGTGGAAAAGCAGAAGTTGAACCACTCTTTCACCGCCAGGTGGGCCCATTTTCAATGGAACCAGCTGGATCCAACATGAAACCAGCGACTCGGGGTGAAAGAAACTTCCAAACATGCAGCACATATTTTGGTGAAACGCCTGTGGCTGGGTGTAAAGAAGGCTGACCATTTTCAGCAGCGACTTCCGCTGGTGAACAAAAAAACACAACTGTGGGTGGCAAGCTTGTGGTGACTCCAAGAATGGACTTACTCTCCGGGAATTTAAGGCTGGAAAAATTGCCAGTTCGATGATGTACAGTATAAACTGAGCTTTGGCCAATCCCTGACAGTTGTCCAAAGGGTGCGCTCATCTATGAAAAATCATGGAGAAATCAAATGAAATCAACATATTCATTGGAATGAATATCAACACACTAACAGTGATAGTAACAACAAATTCATTGATATTGAGATATATTGAGGAATTGATGGTAGTGTATGTGTCAAAATTTAAGGCTGAATTGAGCACAAATAGGTTCATTTTAAGTAGCAAACCAGCAAACCATCATTCTTCGTGTAATCATAATCAAAATTGACTCATACCAGCACCATTGTCTATAAACAATTTGTGAGAATACCAGAATCACAAAGAAGCCAATGCTGGGGTGGTTCCCCTTGCTAAAATACGTTAAGATATTTTACATGCGAGCATTGTTGTATCTAGCTTGAGCGTTGATCCCAGTGTTCTCCAGCAGGCACGGCCGATACGGCCGATGCTCCGCCGTCGTAGCTGAATCATGAACGGTAGTTTATATGCGGGTTTCCATAAATGGGGGATCCCCAATAGCTGGTTGGTTTATAATGGAAAACCCGAAAATAAAATGGATGATTTAATTTACGGGTACCCCCATTTCAGGAACCTCCATATGAGAAACACTAACATATCAATAATATCACCCTCCTGATGTCGCACCAGCGCATTTGTCTCTGCCATCAGCCGCACGACACCCACGCCCGGCATGCCATCAGGCAAATGCAGGTGATGTTTCAAACAGGCCGCTGTTCACAGTCCATATCTTTATGATACCTTCATGAAGATTGACCCAGCAATTCATAAAGGCTTATTGAGGGTTTATTGATGTTTATTGACTACCAACAACGGCTAAATAACGATTTATTGACCAGCTATCATGATTGTATAATGCCCATGATGTCCCCAACACTTTCAACCGTGCCATGGTCAAACCACCTTTTTTCCGTGGGGTCGTGCCGTGAACATCATCTAACCACCAATATTCATCGATTTACCTGGAAAATCCATCTCTTAAGATGGATATTCTATGGGACCCCCAGATGGGACCCCCAGATGGGACCCCCAGAATGCCCGTGTCCATCAGGAACATCAGCCTCCATCGAAACCCCGTGTTTGGAGGGGTTTCCATGTTCGATGTTTGCTTTGGAATGCATTGAATATCGGGTTCAAGGGAACCTAAAACCCGACATGCTTTGCGTGACTTCCAAAACTATTGAATAATTATTGATTCATATTGAATATTATAATATTCAATATTGATCCTGTTTGTTTTGCATATTTTTTGCATGCATTTGCTGCCAAAACCTCATTTTTGCTTTGGCATTGTTAATGCCTGTTGATGCTTTGAAATGTCGGACATGTCCTTTCCTTATTTTGGCATAGTTTTTTTTTCCGGAACCGGTCATCCGTGTTTTTTTTTAAAGAATGCCTCATCTGGGCACGAATTTCCTGGTGTCCAAATCAAAGACCTTGCTGCCCTCGCCGTCCCACGAGATGACCACCTTCGAGCTGATGTCTTGGTGAATGTTCAACCGGAAGTTCCACCATTTCACAGTGATATCATGTTATGGAATACCCAAGAGTAGCTACATCGGCTTTCAACAACTATGTATAATATATATATATGTATGTATGTATATTGTGTATAATTATTATATATATTATATATTATATATTATATATATACATTATATTATATATATATATTATATTGTATTATATTATATTATATTGTATTATATTATATTATATTATATTAAAATTATATTATATTATATTAAAATTATATTATATTAAATTAAATTATATTATATTATATTATTATTAATTATTATTATTATATATATATATATATATTATTATATATACTATATATTTTTCATATTTTATATATTTTATATATGTTATATATTTGATATATTTTACATTATATATTATATATATTATATATTATATATAATATATTATATATACATATGTATATATATTATATTATATATTAAATTATATATATATAAATTATAAAGTATGAATATATATATACATATATGTTAAAATGTACATATATATATTATATATATACATATATGTTAAAATATATATATATATATATTATATTATATATATTATGTATATTATATATATTAAATATATTTTATAAATTGTATGTATTATATATATTATATATATTATATATATATATATTATATATATTATATATATTATATATATTATATATATTATATATATTATATATATTATATATTATGTATATTATATATATTATATATATTATATATTATATATATTATATATATTATATATATATTATAGATTTATACATATATATATATTAAAGATATATATATATTAAAGATATATATATATTTTAGATTTATATAGAGGTTTCCTAAAATGGGGTACCCCCAAATCATCCAATCCATTAGATTTTAGTATTCAAAGCCATGGCAGCCATGATGACTTGGGGATCCCTCAAAAAGCCACCAATTGAAGCACCATCGCCGTTGGTGAAGTCATTGGGTCTGATAACATGGACCGTTTTGGGAACGTCACAATCCGCAAACATGGACCACAAAGATACAAAACGATTCAATACCAATCGTACAACACATTTCCAAATGTGCCTTTATTGTCTTGACAAACAAGTGTTTTGATATCAAACAAAAGCAGTGTGGTTCTTCAAACAACAATGAAGAAGGATGAAAACAAGTTTGATTTGTTGACTGGATCTGTTCAACCTGAAAATATTACAAAGGTGGAACAATGACAACGACACTTACGCAACAAAAAGTGCTAAAGTCCCCATGTGCTTCACTTTTTGCATCTTGTGTCTAGCAACATATGTTGACCTAAGAATCCAGAATGACTTTGAACTGCATTTGTTTTGTTTGCTCATCCATTTTCCATGTCCATGATGATGCTACATCATGTTCAATATGTCCAATCATATGTATCCAATTTCACCCAGGTCAGGAATGTGAACACCAAGTTTTTCCTGGCCATCACGAACCACATATATTCAGTTTTGAGTTTGCAACATCAAAGATAATAAGGCAAGCTCCAAAAGCATTTTTTTTCAGGTCAAACAAAAAATACCAATCAACTGGCGGTTACTCCGAACACCCCGGGTAACCCCGGGTGGTAAATTGGGTGAATCAAGAAGTACAAATCTCAAGTGTTGGTCTCATCACCGTCAAAATCCCATTTAAAAAAAAAAAAAACATCACTTCCCATTGTCATTAAACCTCAATAAAGCCCCATATAACAACCCTATTAAAACATATTAAAACATATTAAAACCCTATTAAACCCCATTTTAGTTTCTGATTCCCATCCTTTCACAAATCACTCTGCGACCCGCGCTGCGACCTTGGGTCCCGCCGCGGCGGACCAGTGGCCTTGCTTCTGTTTCTCCTCCGGCCGGCCGGGCTTGGATTCTGGTGGATACAGCGGAAACCAAGCCGGATGATGTGGATGATGTCATCATTGTCATCCTGTAGAGTCTATGCTTCATATGTTTGTAATTGTGTAAATGTACAATAACGCACATATTAAAGAAATAATTATGTCTGTTCTAATCAACAACTGCAGCTCATGCCAGTATACAAAACTTGACCGCACAGGTGCTGTCGATCTTCCTATATTGGATGATTAAATGTTCACTGCTGTCGGCTAAACGTTGTTTTTGCTGGTCAATATGTTCCGTTTCTTGTTCGTTTGTTGTTTCTAAGTCCAATCAGGGCAAATCATGTTGGCCGCTGGAATAATGAATATCAATGATAATAATCATAATATCAATCATCTATGGCCCGTTCTTTCAGGCTTTTTGACTTTTTGGTTCGTCCGGACATTCTCAAAATCTCCAACCCGGTCTTCCCAAGGTCAAGCCACCTTGCTGGTCGTTGACTCAGTGCCACATCGCCCCGGACCTACGGAGGAATGGCTGAAGTGAATGGTTACAGGGTATGGGTCAAAATTAAGCACCCCAATCTCATTGGATGGTTAATACATGTTATATAATACTAGAATAGACAAATCAGTAGTCCCCCAGGTCTGTAAATTTGACCGACAGCCATTTGTGTAACAAGCATGGGGACCAAGCTCATGTACTGTAATTCAACCTAATTTCTGATGGGTCAGTGAATACAGACACATAGAAAATCTTAGATAATTTGATTGGGGATGTATACCTAATTATATGGGTATGGGTCACAATTTAAGACCTGGGGGACCACAGATTGACTTGACCATTTTTAGTATTAACATGCATTAACCAATGATCGGGATACCCAATGACTTGACCCATATAACTATCATAGCTAGACAATCCGAATACCAACGAACCAACAAAAAAGTAAACTACTAAGATTGTGGGGATAAAACACATTTTTTTTGGGTACTTGGAGGGTCTTGATAAACATACAAAAATGAATCTGCATATCCATCCATTATTTTTCTCTGGTTCCTTTATATAGACCGGCTGGAAGATATCTAGATCTTAATACTATGGTTCTATATAAAGTTGTTTCTTTCTTCTATCCATCTATCCATTCACCTACATCTATATCTATCCACCTTTCTATAGTTTGATTCATTCATGTGTATTCACTTGTTTCTATGCCCCTCTCTCTCTCTCTCTCTCTCTGTCTTTTTCCATGTATGTGTGTATATATATATACATATGTATCATATCAATCTATCGATTTTTCCATCCTCAAATAGAACCTGCAGTTCCCCAACCTGAATTAGGGCGATTCTTATGTAGACATCGTGGTGATGTCCTTGCAATTTACCTGGACATGTTCGCAGAAACACAAAAAAGAACGCAATAAACATAATTGTCCTCCTGTATGAAAAAACAAAAACATACATTGTACATCAGTATGGTATATATATATATTCCAACGTAGAATTAGGATGAATTAAGAGTTGTATATATATATTATATAGGGTCCCGTGTCTCGTGTTCACGGCCCCCCCGAACCCCCTCCACCACATCCACGGGGGGGAGGGATACATAGACATATGCAAATACACATACATATACATACTGTACACATTTGCACATACACATATTACATACGTATACACGCACATGTGTGTGTATATATATATATATACATAGTTTACACATACATATAAGGGACCATCACCATTTCGGCGGGGGAAGGGAGGGGACCACCAAACGCTGGGCCATATATATATATATATATGTGTATATATATATACGTGTATATATATATATATACATAATACATATATATATATGTATATATATGTATATATATATATGTATATATGTATATATATATATATACGTATGATACAATTATAATTAATTATATATATAATATGTTGGTTCATGTGTCAATTGGTTCTTGGAACTTGGTTTCCTCCCATCTGCATCCCTGTCAGTCACCTGGGCCAGGCTGGGATACTTGCTAAGGGCCACTCACCAGATACAAAAAAAGGAATGCAAATGCAATAATTGAAGTCCAAGTAATCCCATCCTAATATTCAACATTATTCAACCATGGTTTCTGGCCAGTGATTGATATTAAGGGTTTCTGGGACAGCATCAGCTGACCTGCTGTCACGTGGTAGAAGTTGCAGGTCATGTCTGGCAGCAATTCCAACTCAAACCACTCGCTGTAGCGGTCCTGAGCTGAACTTCTGACCTAGGCCTGTCTGATGGTATGGTTTCCCCTGCGTGTTGGACAATTGAAAACAACTGCTACAATTTTGCTATGGATTTCCATTTCCAATGGGAGCACAAAATTCCAATTGGAGGTTTCAAACCGCCCATTAAGCCATGGGCTGCAAAGCAGATGGATTTCCAGCAGAAGAATGTACACTATCTTCAGTAGTTTGCACGTCTGATCATGCAGCTTCATTTTGTTGGTTCATCTGGTTTTGTTCTATTAAATTACAACTTCACTTGGAACAATGAATGAAAACTAATGATGGAATTCACTTAGAATCATCTTCCATTTTTTTTGTCGAACTAAATTACTCTTGTTGGTCTCCCTTATTCCGTTAAATACACATTCTCAAACTTGGGATGGACATTTATGGGATTGATTTCATTGCCCTTAAAATCGTCAGCGAAACTCATCCGACTTGCCCAGGGCTGGGCGCCTCGGGGTAGGATTTGTGGCCATACTCATAGCTACCTGCCTGGCCATTGAGATCCAGTCAAATCATGGTAGGATACTGAGTCGGATAGTGACACCGCCAGAAAAAGCGTCATGAAATGGTCAACAGTACAAGATAGGAAAGTCATGATCAAATCGAAATTTTGGGGATTGGCCCTCAGGAAGTTTGGGATTACTATCGCGTTGGTAGGATTTCCGATTTGGAGCCTCAATGAAACCAAGTCCCTTGCTTTAAACTATGGAACATCTACCATGTGTAGATCACGTTTCGAATAGGAAACCATTGGTTTTCCACATTTTTTGGTTAGTTCATCCTAAATCCAGTAAATCACATGTTTTCCTAGGTAAATCCACCCTTTTTCCTGGGGAACTCCCCATTTTTCCACCATTTATAGCACCTTGCTACCTGCCTTGGCAGCGACCGGCTCCTTCACCAAAGTTAACGAGGCGCCGGGTTTCACGCCTCGGGAACTCCATGGGTTGTCGAACATGGGGAACTCCTGGGGGAAATCTCTCTCTGCTAAAAAAAGGGCTGTTTTTAATATTGATATTATGAGATATTAATGATGAATCGTGATTTTAATATAATTATGTCATAAGTCCATTGGATTCGTGATTATGTCATATTATGTCCAATGTCTAGAGATGGGAAATATATTTATGGGGAAGCCAACCAATTGGAAATGAACTTGGAAATCAATGGAAATCATCTATGGAAACTTGTTACATAGAACATGAATTTGGACGATGATTCCGTATGCTCCATGGTACTGGTATATTTACCTTCAGAAGGTTGACCGTTCTTGAGTGCCGGTGTTTACACTCCAGCATCATGGAGCGTTACTCCATGGGCAAGAAAACGTGATCTAGACATGCTTGGCGGATTGACAGCTAACATAAATCACCAGCCCAGGATGTAAATAATGAAAAGTCAACAAAACTTGAAAGCAGTAGCAAAATTTAAGGAGCGATGAAGTCATGGAATTATCTTTGAACTTAACAAGAAGTCTGTGTTTGGAGCCGCGGGCGCCATCAACTGAACGTTTACATCGGCAAACTCGTGGGTCAATAGATTCAACAAATGAATGAATTCTAACTGCCCGTACGATACATTGTGACTTAACCAACAAGGCTTGGGAAATTCACCGGGAACAAAATGATATGCATATATACTATATACTATATATATATGTATGTATATACTGTGTATGTATATATATATATATATGCATGTATATATTTACATATACACACATGACATCACATGACATGACATGACATCATATGGCCTGAAACGATATGCATTGGATTAATTTTACTTGTTTATATATCCCATGCTTTTTCTTGGGGAATCTCTGTTTGCTGACGGAATACAGATTTATTGTTGATGGAATCCCTGCCTATTGTTGGTGCAAATTCTCGTTCCAACATTGAAATTGGATGAAATAGGTACGGTATAAATTGGAGGTTAACCAGCAAACATGCAGATGTACTTTTTTGGAACAAATGGTAAATACCATGGTATTGTAGATTGTAGATGCGCAGCTGCTGCATCGTAGCCTCCTTGACATGTTGGGGATCTACCTTTACAATCCCGTCCACCCATATCTCAATGCATGTACGGACTGCAAACATATCCAACCCTAGAGCCTTATATACCTAGCTGGAAAAACATGGTTATATAGTCTCTCCGCTGGTGTTCCTTCAGCACCCTGGAAGGAAACTGGAGAAAAAAGGGCCGGAAACAATGTCGGGGAGTTCATGCAAATGCCCTGCCCGACTTCTTTGAAATTTATGGAAAAGAATCAAAAGAAGCATCAACTATCAACCACTTCCCAAGCAAGGCCAATTTGATTGTCAATCCTTTTAAAGGGTTTCACTATGTTTCACTTCTGCCAAAACAAAACTGTCCGAGGGCCAACCCCACCAAATCCCAGGCAGCCTTGTTCCTTCAATTCTTTAGCGAAGGACAACTTTATGCCATCCTTGGTGGAGGTGTCTGAGGCGGTCTGAGGCCCAAGCATATTAGTGATGATGTTTTGAAGATATTCTTCGGGCATGACGATATTGATGTGTTAAATCCAGCTCTATACCCTCTGGTTATTTCACATAGCCATGGAAAATCACCATTTTTTATAGGTAAACCATCTATAAATGGGCCATTTTCCATGGCTATGTTAAATAACCAAATGGTAAATCCCATATTAGCATCCATATGCTCTATGGAACACACTGTCCAACACTTGGGAGATGTGGCTAGGTTGTGAATGTTGCTAAATATAAACCATCAATGGACATTCTGGTGATGGCAATCATTGAAAATCCTAGCTAACATTTGAAGCTAATGAATACTATCTACATATCATATACCTACCGTTTGTATATATATATATATATATCACACCACTCCACGCCTGCCACATATTCTGGGCGAAACAAATCCCAAAATTGTTTGGACGTATTTGGACTAATGTAAATCCTATAACCGTACGGGCAGAATGGGTCAACAAGTGCAAACAAACACACAAAATCGTAATGTTTGGGCACAGAAAATCCAGAATTTCTCCCTTTCCTTGGCCATCACATCAGGGGAAGCTGACTACTTGCAGCCGCTGGTTTTGCTTCAAAATGGATTGGCCAATAAATAAAACAATCCCATACCATCCCAGGAAGTCCTGTCTATTCTATTTCATAGTCATCCATCAACTCTTTGGTATACTGCAGTGTACTCCGTTTATAATCACCAATCATAACCAGTGTATATATAACTTCTTCCTGGTGCGAGCTTTTTTGTTGTTTCGCCACGTATCACAGACCAGAGAGTAGGTCACATCTTGTTGGTCGAGCGTCTTGGAGACCTGGCGATGGGGATGGCGATGGGGATGGAAAAACCATGGGTCCATGGGACAAACAAACACATTTAAGTTAATGGAATATCCTCAATGATGGGATTCATTATATGGGCTATACATGGATATGAAATATGGGTTATATATATATATATATATATATGAAACCACGGATTGATTCGTGGGATGCACATCCAAGTGGGGTACCATGGAGTTTTATGGATCACATTGATCACATCAAAATTGGCAAAGGCCGCGTGGTTCTCCAAGTTTGCCAAGACTTTGAAGCAAAATCAAATCAACGTTGTTCCGTGCGCAAACCAGAAAATAAACTGAAGTTGGCGAAATTGCATGAAAAATCATCTATGGTGACATGGTTGTGAGGTATGGTTGTGAGGTTGTTATACAGTAGATGTTATAGGTCACACAAATATGTGGTATATAGTACATACATGTTTGCTGAAATTGCTTTGGACATGTTTCCAAAAACATGGGAGAACAGCCATAGTTTTCATAATGGTGGATGTCATGATCTCAACCCCCCGATAGGATGGTTATAGGATGGTTTCCAGTAGGAGTCAATCGAAGGAATCACAGACTTGAATGTCCAATTATCTCTGGTTGATAATCAACCAAACATTGATAGTTCAAGTTTGCTAGGTGAAATGAAGTTCGATCCTCAACTTTTGCTGCTCAAATTCTTTGAAGAATCGCGTAAAATACATGCTCTCTAGCTGGAAATCACTTAAACACTCCATTTTCAAGAATATATTAGAATCCCTTTCTTGACCTCAAAAATCACTGCCAACACATTTTTCCAGAACTTCAAGAAATCCTTTGGTGAATTCCCCAAGTTTACCACCGGCTGGCCGCCGCCTTAGTCACCAAGTCCTCTGCGAAGTTGGTAAGTTCAAAGTCGCCCAGGAATTCACCACCGACCCCTGCACAGCTTGGGAATTCATCAGCCAGTTAGTGAGGCCTCAGGTTGGGGGTGATAGAAGGGGGTAAAATTTGGTACGATCCGATTTTAGAAATGATAAGAAACTATCCACTGTTCATGACTTTTCTATCTTTTTGAGGCTTACTATATAGTCAATAGGGTATTTCATGGTATTTCATGGAAAGCTCTACAGTTCAGAAGCTCCATGAAAATAATATTGGAAATCAAACATTGTGGTTAAACCACCAAAAATGATGTTTTCATATGGTTTAACAATCCTGAAATGAGAATATCTAGCCAATAAGGACCATGGGCATCTGCACAGTTAATTATGAATTTTGCAAGCCACATTTACATGGCTGACAAGCTTGTAACCTTTGTGCTTAATAACACATGCCATAGATGTGTTATGATTTGTTGATATTTTATGGAAATCTATGGGTACTCCCAAAGGGTACCCCCAACAATAGTGGCTGAACAAGTACCCCAATCGAGGTGAACAGGAATGAATCATCCCTTCATAGGGCCCTCTTGGGCCTAGTGGGCCTAGGGGGGTTTGAGGTTTAAATCCCTGGACCGTCTGGACCTGATTTCTTTGGGAGGTATCTTTGGGTACTCTTAGATATCCAGGGTTTTATTTTGTTTTATTGATCAATATCAACTGTTTTCACACAAACGCTGATAATTTTTAGACAACCACTTTGCCAACGGAACGTGCAGTTTTTTTCAGCAACAAACATCAGGGTTTTTGTCTCGTTCAAAAAACGCCACCATGTTCAAATGGATTCAGGAAGCTGAGGATAAAATAAGTGCAATAAATATGTCAACCCTACATCAGCATATGCCGCTTGCTCACGTGATCGGGTCACGCCTATCAAGTCCAAGCACTTGGAATCTGTTGAAGTGTAGGGATCACAGATCAATTTGCCAGAATTGGTTTGAGAGAAATGTTCAGAACTTTCAAAATACTGGGCGGCATCTGGGCGGCAAAAAGGAGGGGTTCCTTCCTTATCATCTATTTCCATACGTTGCCATAGGTGCTTTTCCCTCTAACCCAGTCAGCATGCCAATAATACGTTGCCTACAAGGGACCTGAGTATATAGAGTTGCGTGTGGTCACGTTCTGAGCAGGGCAACAGAAGCAATTTGGATCAATTTGGATCATCCGATGTAGGGAACGACTTGGGGACCACCCAGACCACCCACAAAAAAGAGTCTATCAAGGTAGTCTTATGACGCACAAAAATGCAAAAATGGGCTCCAAACACCATAGACACATCAAAGAATGATTGAGGATGAAGTCACAAAAACAATGCCATACCCGCCTTGTGGTGGCTGGACTAAAACTCATCATACTGAGGAAACTGTACTAGTCAACAGCCCAACATGAGGCTGGAGGCCAAAGAACAAAAGGGGTTTGGAGTCTAACAGACAATGGTTTTTCCATACAAGCTCAGTCACCGTGGATCTTCACTGTTGCTGCTGCCCATTCACCTGAATCAATAGCGAATTTGGTGATATCAGGGAGGGAAGAAACATATGGGAATGGCCGGTACATAATGTTACTGTACATACCCAGCCAGCCAGCAAAGTGGTGCCCCATCGCTAGCCAAGTTGGTGTATAAATGCGTATAGCTATACAACATTATACAACTAGGGTTTATGAGAAAACCAACATAACTATAAATGGAAGATCACCATTTTAATAGGTAAATCATCTACAAATGACCTTTGGCCATGTTAGTTTACGAAAGGGTATCTACTGTACACTCAATTGGGGTTATAAACCAACAAACGTAACTAGGGAGAACAACTTCGTATGGTAAACCATCTCCAACATACCCACTCGGCAATCAGAAATCAATTCATAACGTAAACCATGCCCCAAACACAAAATTAATTAGTTATTGGATCCCCTTTGAAATTCACCCTACAGTAAGGGGTCAGGGCCCACTTTTTATAGCTATAAACCTATAAATCATCTATTTTATTGCTCTTACAGTATGGCAAAGCGCAGGCAACTCCCGAATTATAAAATGGCCTCCGAAAGCTGCTCCCATAGCAAGGGACTGTAAGAAAATGCGATAAGATCTGCTTCAGTAATTAGTCTGTATATGTGTGCAATGAAATAAGGTCCTGCTTCACACAATTATGATGTGCTGTATTGATATCAGTGTGCGATTACATCATATGTGTGCTATATATATATATATATGCTCTATTTCTCTCTTACTACTGCACGCTCGACATGAATCTGGTGTTTTTGCGCTGGCTAACTGAAGAAACACGCCGCACAGGTACAAGTGACACGGATTCGCAGGCATAAGCAAGGACTTTTCAATTCCAACATCCATGATTAATGTTGGATACTGATTAGTGTAGGGCCCCCCCCTCAACAATTTTAGGCTACTCAATAGCTCGGCATTTTAAACGCCCCCCCATCAATTTTTAGGATAGTCAACTTAAGTAAGGATTTCAATTGACATCCATCTACTTTCAATTGATTCTCCTTTAAAATCCAAAAAACATTGCCCCACAAGTTCTGTGTACAATAGGGTACCATCGAAACAATTACATTCTTGAGGATCTGGGTCACTCATGGGGTACCCCCTTGAAAAATTGTGCGGGTGCTGTTTTTAAATAAGGGTTTAATAAGGCATCTAATTATTTGGAAAACCTTGCATTTTCAAGGCTTTAACATGGATATGGCTTTCTAAAGTAAATGGACCAGCTTTATCCAAAGAGAGGTGTATAAAGGTGGATAAAGCTCCTCCTGAAAAAAATGGTTCTGAGGAAAAACTTCTCACAATAGAGGCCACCCTCCTATTCACAAGATACTCAATGATTTTGAAAATTGTCTCACAATAGAGTCCCAGGACACTAATCGGTATACAACATTAAATTATACCATTTCCGTGGGTACTCTCAGGGTCAAAATGAGGCACATGATTGTAAGGTCAAGACAAACAAATCGGGAGTATCGCAGGGGAGTCTGAATGACTTCTGTGGCACAGTACCCTGCAAATTGCACCACAGAATATCTGAGAGTAACCGTTCAATTCCAAACGTGCTCCGGGTAAAGGTAGAGGGAAAAAAAAGCACCCCCTGCAGCGAAGTAACCCAGAAAGGGAAAGTTGGACACTTGGAAACTATGATGTAAAATGAGGTAAAGATTCTCTTTACCATGCTGGATGTGTTTTTTCTATCCCTTTGGGAATCCTCAAGTTCTATTTGTTGTTTCCACGAACTACCAACCACAGGGGCACAAGGATATGCTGGTTTGGGAAGCTATGGGTCATCATCTGCTAAACTGCGCCATTGTCAAAGAACCTTTGCACATAATAATCCCCAAGTCTGAGGACAGAAATCTGGTTGGCTCTTAATCAGCCTGTAGATTTGCTTTGTAGAATTTGCTTCTGTTCACTGTTTACTGTTCGCATAAAACAATCTGAAGATATCTGAATCGATTAAGGCATGTCAATGTGGAAGCGAAAACGAAAGCGTCGCATTCACATCAAAGTGCCAGGCCTCACCGGTTCTCAGCTGTCACAGTGATTTCCTCCCCTAAAGATGGCGAACATCTGTGGTTTGGGATTTACCTTCCTAAACAATCACTTAATCCACTTTCACCAGGATGTCAAGATGTGAAAGTCATGAAAAACCAGCATCATTGCAGATCAAATCTCCCTCTCTGCCAATGTGATGTTCGTAAAGTCTGAAAATAGGCTAGCCGGCTAGCCCTAAATATTCCTAAATCAATTGATCAATCATCATGTTCTCTATGAAATAGATATAGTTGGTGATATACTAGCAACTTTTCAATCAAACCCATGTTCATCAACCCGGAACATCCCGTGCTGACACTCTCCCACCGCCACCGGGTGACCACTGACGCTTCCGGGCTTCGCGACATCGCACCAGTAGACCCAAGCAGTTCGCCCATCCGGCAGGGTGGCTTTGCCTCGCAGTCATATGTAGATATATACTCAATGGGAATTTCAGGATCCTAAAATGGAGGTACTGTACCATATAAGGCCATATTTTCTGGGGATATCCCCTTACATAGGCTTAAAAATAGGCTTTATATATGGTAGGTACCTCCAATTTAGGATCCTGGAATGGCCATTGATATACTACAGGGATCATCAGGTTATATCAATTCTAAAGAAACACAAACAACCTGAATTTTTCGGGTCACCTCCGGAAATGGTTAGCCCGGCTCTAACCAGAAAATTCCAGTGAGGGAGAACAGTGAGGTTGGAAAATTGGTAAATTTACTCAGATACATGGAATATGATGCAAACTTGACCTAAACATGTTATCCAACCATTTTGTGGCGGCTTTAATTTAAATGTGCATCCCAGTTGGTGTGTGTTCAAACGATCTGAATATTTTGTATATATAAATATTGATGTACACACATCACTCAGTATACATACGTAACCCTCGTTATAATCCTGTCCTATGTATATATATATATATATATATATAGTATTATATAATATATAATCAATTATTCTCATCAGTTGGGAACAGGTTATACCACGGGATCATAAAACTCGGGTACCTGAACTCGATTTGCCAAGTGTGAGGAGCCCGGCACAGTCAACTTGGGTATCTGGAAACCCTGGCACCTTAGGTAACCTCAAATAGCTGCTATAGCTGGATCGCTATTCCCCAACATATGGTAATTACTGGTTGGTGGTTGACCTACCCCTCCGAAAAATATGAAAGTCAGTTGGGATTATTATTCCCAATATATGGAAACATAAAAAATGTTCCAAACCACCAACCAGATTAGTAATAATGGGTTTTGACACATCCCCGTATTCATCTATATAAGTAAGTGCCAGCAATACTTGCATATCACTTGTAGTGGCCAATGTCCATTGGCCACTACAAGTGATACCCCTTCTAGGGTTCCTCAGCACAAAAAGCAGGATTATGGTAATCCCTGTGAAACAATACAATGTCCATGCCCTATTCATTGCCTTACACATTTCCATCCAATAATTCTTCGTTCTTCACGCGATATTATATACTGTAAGTGTGTCTGAAAATGGAGTATGCACCCAATTTATATACATCAATTTACCATTTGAATGTTGAACAAGATGTTTTATATTGTTTTATGGTGCTGTTCCATATTTTTCAGATTTTTTGGATGGCAGGATATCCCGACTTTAATGGAGTTACTACACACTTGTTTTTCAGCCATGGATTGTGATGCAATACATCATAAAATACACATAGAATTCTTCACTTCATCGAGGGTCGGTCAGACTCTGGTTGGTACCGTCTGACCCCTTTGCTCATAAAGCCTTGGCTCTGAAGGTCTAGGAGGTCTAGGTTTTGAAAAGACCCACAGAGATGAAGAAAAATTCAAGTTGCAGGGTCTTGGAGCCGATTTGACCTCCTCCTCAAACCTAGGCTTCGAGACGATACCGTGTTCAAACATCAACGACATGTTGGGCTTGGCTTGGAGTTTACGGTGAATACATATAAATATATATATATATAATATAAAAAATATATATATATATATACTCTATACATATATACTATGAATGTATATATATATGTATACTCTATGCATATATACTAAGAATGTTTATGTATATATATATATATTTACTATATGTATATATATATATATAAAAATGCTATATGTGTATATATATATATAGCGTTCCTGGTGGTGGGAACGGTGGTGTCCCTGGCGTTAAGGGAGGTGTGCCAGGTGGAGTAGTAGGAACAAAGTTCAACAACAACTCAGGTGGGTAGTAGGAACAAAGTTCAACAACAACTCAGGTGGAGTAGTAGGAACAAAATCCAAAACCAGTTCAGGCGGGGTAACGGGCACTGGAATCCCACCTGGCAACCACATCCCGTGAAACGAAGGCGGCGTCTCCGGTGCCATCCAGCCATCGCTCACATCCATCCAGGACCTCAGCAAGGGAGTGGAAGAGACAATGGCGGGTAGCCAGTTCCAACCGGTGAGTGCCTGGAAGCAACGCAAAGAAAGGAACGACGTGCCCACAGCATATCCTCCACCACGCTTATGCCAAGATGTTCTGCGTCACTCTCGTTAGAGCCCGTTTCCACGATAGACATATCCGACCTGATGGAGATGATGAGACAGAACAATGGGATTGAAGCGTTTCTGCTTGAAGGCTGCAAGTTTGAAGACATTTGTGCATTTCAGGACTTGGCTCCCCCATGCTGTCCACGATCTCCATGTCGTTTGACCTTGAAGGGCAGTGTTTACAGATAAAGGAAGGAATATGTAGAGAAGCAATGCTGCAATGAGACTTTCACATAATAGTTGAGGTTCTGGCAGCGGATATGACTTTGGTTTAGCCATAGCCATAGCACATGCAACCGTGGACATGGTGGAGGCCGGAAATCTACTGATGGATGAAAAATTCTGCAGATCAGAGGACACATTTTAAGTGCAAGATTTGAAATGGAAAACAAAAAACATCGAGAACACCAAAAAAAAATATTTCAGAAGTCTTGTGGATCGGGGCCCTCCCCAAAGGCGCAAGATTAGAATGGAAAACCAAAAAAAAATCGAGAAAACTAAAAAAACGAAAAAACAAAAAAAAATCAGAAGTCTTGTGGATCGGGGCCATCCCCAAAGAGTCTTGGAATATTGTTTTTTTTTTTGTTTTCTCGATGTTTTTTTTTGGTTTTCTCAGGGTTTTTTTGCTTTTCTCCAAGGGGCCCTCCCCAAAGAGTCTTGGAATATTGTTTGTTTTTCTTTTGTTTTTTTGTTTTTTTTGTTTTTCTCGAGTTTTTTTTTGTTTTTTTTGTTTTCTCAAGGTTTTTTTATTTTCTCCAAGGGGCCCTCCCCAAAGAGTCTTGGAATAGTGTTTTTTTCTCGAGTTTTCTTTTGGTTTACTCAAGGTTTTTTTTTGTTTTCTCCAAGGGGCCCTCCCCAAAGAGTCTTGGAATATTGCTTTTTTCCCCACCTGCCAGGTGAGGGTTGTTAGATTTTATCAGAGTTGTTCTCCTCTTCCTCGGCTAGCTGTCCTCCTCCTGGTCCTCCTCTTCCTCGCCTCCTCCTCCTCCTCGTCCTCCGCCTTCTCCTCCTCCTCTGCCTCCTCCTCCAGTTTCTCCTCGACCATGTGTGCATCAACTTCCACCTCAACTTCCGCCTTGCCAACTCTTCGCCAAGCTCTTTGCCAACTCCCAGGTGAGTGTGCACCGCTGGACCTCAACCTGGGACCTGCCCAGCTCAGTGTGCACCGCTGGACCTCAACGGCCAGATAAAGTGCCAGAAGATATGCCAGATAGAATGTCAGATAGAATGTCAGAAGATATGCCAGAAGATATGCCAGAAGATATGCCAGATAGAATGCCAGAAGATATGCCAGATAAAATGCCAGAAGATATGCCAGATAGAATGCCAGAAGATATGCTAGATAGAATGTTAGATAAGATGTCAGTTAGAAGGCCAGAAGATATGCCAGATAGAATGCCAGATAGAATGTCAGAAGATATGCCAGAAGATATGCCAGAAGATATGCCAGATAGAATGCCAGAAGATATGCTAGATAAAATGCCAGAAGATATGCCAGATAGAATGCCAGAAGATATGCTAGATAAAATGCCAGAAGATATGTCAGATAGAATGCCAGAAGATTTGCCAGTAACAAAACGTATAAATGTCATGGTGGGGATAACTCGAAGTAAAGTAATTGTTGTTTTTTGTTTTTTGTTTTTTCCAATATTTTTGTTAACTTTCTCCCAGAGGCCCTCCCCAGATAGCATTTTGAAAAAAAATATAATATATATATATATTGACAGCAACATACAAACACATTGTGAATGTAGTACAAAATGTGAACACAAAAAAATATCTATGTTCACTGTAAATTACAATAGAAACAACATGTCGGGGGGTCGTGGTGGGGGGGGTGACCATATATATATATACACTATATATATATACGATATATGTATATATTGTATACACACTATATATATATGCATATGTATATATATACTATATATATACACTATACAAAAATATACACTATATATATACACTATATATATACACTATATATATATGCACACTATATATTTAATATTGTATACACACACTATATATATATACACATACTATATATATATATATACATACTATATATATATATACATACTATATATATACATACTATATATACAGTATATTATATATACAGTACATATATATATTATATACATATATTTATATATATACTATAATATACATATACATATATATATATACATATGTATATATACATATATATATACACTATATATCATATACGTATATACATGTATATATATATATCTATACTTACATATCTATATATGTATATACTTACATATATATATATATATATGAATATATATACACGTACAGATGGGATATGGGTTTGTCCAAAGATGCCGTGTACCGGACGTCCATTTATAGCCAACTCAATAATATTGCAAATCATGATAAACAGTCAAATTTGCAGGTACCCTGTTAAAGTCTGACTTGGCTTGGGGTTGAGTTTCTGGTGAAGAAAAACAGGTTTCTGACAATTCAGCCCTCAATTTCATGGTCCATATCATTAAAATAGCACTGGGAGGTGTACCAGGTACCCGAACCCCATTTTTAGACAGACCCATATATTACTCCGGTCCGATGGGTGAAACAACGATGGAACCAAGGACCGAAACAATGAAGCAACAGGACCGGGTATCAAAGTGTGGATGAAATGGGGATACAACCAACAACATTGATGTATCTTCTGGTTGATAGCCATGGTTAATTTCTGTAAATTGTCTATGCTCTATGGGTCAAGGCATGCCAAGGCGATGTGTTGGGGATTCCATTGATAAAGCTTCAATATTCACTACCTTTCAAGAAGGATTTGCATTTGGGTGTTCAAACAACCAGAAGCAGTGTAACCTATGCTGCCTGTGCTGAGACGTATGATTGGATTGCATCTAAATATCATCATCCTACAACCATCCAGGGTCCCGGGAAGCATGAAAGGATGATCCAAACGTTGGAGGGTAAGATCCTCTTGGTGGGGGGTGGGGGAGGCTAATAATGTCCTGTTGCACTGGCACATAGAAAGGATGCTAAGGCTAAAGACTCTTCTCTTGTCCTTGGACAGCTCTTTTAAAAAATGAGATAAGAGATGAGCAGTGTCCAAGAAAAAGCTGCCGAAATTAGGGTTTGAATTACAATCTTATCAGAAACAATACCAATTGCGAACTTTGACCCTCAAAATGACGCGCCCTTACAGGGTTTTGAGATATTTCACAAAGAGACATCAATATTTGAAACACATGAAACCCTGAAAAAGTTCACCAAGTCATGGTGATGGCTCATTATTGAAGCCAATGATGAGCCATGCATTGATGCTCCAGCACTCCTTAAGGCGCGGTGACCATGCTATCGGTAATCCAAAGCGGAAAAAAGGAATTTGCCGAGACACGTGAGCTCCGAACCGGCTTCCCAGGATGTTGGATATTCCTGGAAAAGAAAGGGAACATCTGGAGGCCTTTCAAGATGTTTCTACAGTGCATGATTCCACATGTATTGCACATATTGGGATCCGGGATATTCCCGGATTACTGGATTGGTTGAAGGGATAAATTCATAGGAACTCTGTGTGGGGGTTTCCTGTAAATAGATCTCTTGAACCAAAAACCTTGGAAGCCTTGGAAATGGGTGCTCCAAGGGTTTTTCACAACCCCTTCCAATAGGAAAACCCATAAGGAACCTTGCAGGGAAGTCGGCCAATGTATGGATTTTGATGGATGCAAACTACTAGTAGTTTGAATATCAAACCAACAACAATACCCTATGGTACTCAACATGGCTGGTAAATCCATCATTTCAAGTACAGGAAAGTCATCCTTAAAATGGGCCTAAACTCTAGCAGATGATCATATTATGTTGAATGAAACCATTGCTAATATCAGAGTAATTATATATAATTATATATTATTTATATATAGATATATCATATTTTAGCAGTCAGATTTGATATTACTGGACGGTATCGGTTGCTTTTGGCTATAGGCAGACTCGCCGCCCCAGAAGGGTTGTTATTTTTTTGATATTTTTTGCTGTCGGATACTTCGATGTTGTGCAGGTATGATTCGGTCATGGTACGGTGGGGTGGGGTGGGTTGGGGCTAATTAATAACGTTCCTTGGTACTTGCACACCTACATGATGCTACGTTAGAGATGGGGTGGGGTAGGGTGGGGTGGGAATAATAACGTCCTGTGGCATGCGACCGTGAAAAAATATGCTGCTACGCTTGCACGTGTTGTGCACGTGCGCGAACATAAATTTGATGTTTCGTTCATATAGAATATGTTGCTACTCTTGCACATGCTGTTAATGTGTGCGAACACAAGTTTGATGTTACGTTCATAGAATATGTTGTTACGCTTGCACATACCAAAAAAAACTTGAAAACATGGACGCCAATCGCTTTTGCCCAAAAAGACAAATCCCCTGGAGGAACCAACGAAAATCGTTGGAAGTGGGCGCGAAGCTTCCAGTGGAGGCAAAATGCTTCCATCACAGACAAGTTCCATTTTGGAAGAACTTCCCAAATGCTTGTGGCAGAAGGGATTTCTTGGATCAACAGGCATTTCCAAACTGTTTTTCCCGGCGTGGTAAAAAAATGATCGTTTCGCCTGCACGAAATACCGCTTTATTCATTTTGAATTGGCCCACGCAGTACAAATGATACTCTCTAAATGCCTTCCAAAGATGAACAATGTAAAAAAACACTGGGTTTTCAGCATTTCATCTTGAGAATGAAGAAAAAAAGATGTCGACAGTTGCAGGGCGGCGAGTCAGCCGATTCCCTTGTTTTTGGGGCCGTCCAGCTAGATGACTCGGCAAGTGACAGCTGCAGAGGATTGCAAAGATGTTGAAACGGTCAAAATATGAAGGAACAACAGTTCATCCGTATATCTCAAGGTTCATCTTGTGTTCTTACAGCCCATCTGTTAATGTGTTGTCATGCCAACAGATAAAAGCATGGTCAGTCCTTCCATGGATCAGTGATTGTCGGCCAGAAAATCACCTTGCCACTGGAGCCGGTCAAGTAGCCTCAAAAAAGGGTACCCATTTAGGATAGCTACGTTGGTTTATGATGGTTTATGACTATAGATGCTTTAGGTTAACTATGGTCTATGGATGTTTATGGTATTAGTTGTGGGAATTGCAAACCGACTTGTCACAGGAGGCCCAATTGTCTGCTGCATTGCATGACAAATACTTCTAGAATGGTGGTCTACGGAGTCAAACTGAAGGTTCCACTGAGACTCAAACAACCCCCAATTTACTGCAATATTATATATATATATTATGTAATATATATATATATTATGTAATATATATATATTATGTAATATGTATATATATATATTATGTAATATATATATATATTATGTAATATATATATATATATTATACAGTATGTATTCAGTATGTATACAGTAATATATTTATTTCTGGGTCAAACATTAGGATTTGGAAAGCAACCTGGCCAAATGGATCAATTTTTGCTGCATTTTGCGATGAAATCATCCGGTTATCCTGAGGCCATCATTTTGTCATGGGTTTTGACAGAGACATCTAGAGGAAACCATGATTTCTACTATCAAATATAGAGTTTAATATAGCATTTATACATATTTAATCATATTTATATCATCTATATCCAATTCTGGGGATTCCAGATCCCATCTCTTTGTTACTGCCATCCGCGGCCCCCAGCCTTGTCTCCGGGTTTCAATCCGGGAATTTTCTTGCCCAACATTGGCTCCAGGCACGAAATGCTGGTGATAATTACGCAGTGATATTCGGTATTGTATTCGGATCACCATAGAGCACTGTAGCAGAAGTAGATACTCCATCATACTCCACTTAGCGATATATATATACATATATATATATGATCCAGTCGAACATCTCACTGGACAACAGCTCATTGGCAATCCGCTGGTGAGTTCACACCTCACTCTTGACCGATCTAGCTGACAGAGTTTGCTGAACTGTTCGTATTACACATAGAACTGAGCCACTTGGCTGAAAGCAACGGCCGTGTTCCAAGAGACATCTCTGGGATCGAACATGTGGATAGTGATAGGAAATTCAGTGAAAAGTTCATGTGAAATGCCCAAGTCTCGCTGCCTCACCGTAGTATCTTTCTTACGCAAGCCCTATGACTGGGAGTGTAAGAGCCAGGACCCAGGAAGTCATCAAGTGGAGGACTATCGTAAGCATCCCATTGAAAGTGCTATTTTGTTTCACAAGTTCACCCTATTATCTCCATCCACGTCCAAAAGCGGATTTTGTTGGCAATCAATCCAGCTTAAAAATCGAAATCTCATACAGGATACACCAAGATTTATCCATATTTCACGAAGTGATATCCTTTGACAACTATGATGCATCATGATGCATCCCATATTGTTTGCGCTATTTCTGTTGGAATTTTCATATCACCCAGGACTCGATCCGCCACGGATCAACTGCATCAACTGCTACGCACGCCACGTCATTTGCACCGTACCGGGCGGCTGTGCCACGAAGCGATCGGTCATCCCTACCTGGGATGATGTCAAACATCTACAGGAAACCATGGTGTTTACCAGCAGTCTGGATCTTGAAACATATGAAACCGGATGAAACCGGCCATTTCTGAAAAGTCACATAAGAGAGATTCTGAAACAGTTTCTGAAACCATTTCTTTAGCTTTCATGCTGAGGGGTAAAGGATCCCTTCATCGATACTTGATAAAGATCCTTCCCGTCCATGGGCCATCCCGAAGATTCCGAGTCCTATGAGGCGAAAACCCATGTAGAATATTGTAGAACGGGATATAGTGAGGTTACTATATTAGGGCTTAGTTCACTGGGTTCACATAAGGAAAAAATTGCAAAAACCCAATGTTGCTGTTTTTTTTCGATTGAACATGGGGGTTTCTTGTGAATGTGCCCTTCAATTCTGGGTCTCTTGTATACCCTCAATCTGAGCCGCATCCCAACCAAGGCACTTGACCTCGATGAACCTGCCGCCCAGCAAAGCTCTGAGATTTGGGAAAATTGAGGGCGAAAATTGAGGCTCAATCACAAGGCTAGGGGGAAACATATCAGATTGCAGGATACAATAGATTTTATCAGTCAAACCTGGGGGGTTCTAATGATGTGTTTGTTTTCCGCCAAATTTCTTTGAAACCATAGCTTGCGGGTGCTTAGGGTCTAGTAGGGCCTATCCTACTTCTATAACTGGGTGATGGTCCAATACCACTCAGGACACAACATGAAGCAACCCCATCAACTCCCCCATACTCCAATGGTGAGGGTCCTAACGCTCCATTTTGCAATAAACATTTATCTGAGTATCCCATCATATATATATGTATATATATATATATGATTATATATGTATGTATACAGTATATTAGCATTCTATTTATTAAAAAAATGAATCTAAACCAGCAGATCATGTTTATCTGATAATTAAAGATCAAGAATGGGATCATATTCCATGCAGTTGTGGCCCTTGACAGTTATGAACAGTGAAACTCCCGAAACTATAACTGTTAAGGCCTATATTATATCCATAATAAAATAGTTATTCATTTTTATCAGCTTCTTGATCATGAATTATCCTGATGTGCAGAACAATAGGATCATATTCCATGAAAATCGTATATTTCACCGCAGTTTTCAGTTAATTTAAGTGATATATGTCACCTATTTACCTTAGTTACAGAGCTATATGTCACCCCGTCTGATCCCATTGGATCATCCCGCCTCCTCTGCAAAACGAGCATGACCTTGGGCACCTTGACACAGCGGTGCACATTTTAAAAGAATCATGGGATAATGGTGATTGAATGGTGGTGTAATGGTGACTTAATGGGATCATATGTTTCTACAGTTCTACACACCAATAATTGGTGTGTCATTGGTGTCAGAGTTCTTCAAATCAACCAGAATGAATCATAAATATCATAATGAAATAATCAATTAAATATTGGGGGGTTCAAGCCGTTTCCCTTTGATAGTGAACATATGGGACAATTGAAAAAGTAAAAAAAAACATGAATTAATCAATTTGGGCTGTAGGGTCAATGGTCTGTGTTAAGCAAAAGGGGTTTTACACCTCCATGATAGCGGAACAATAATCAACCAACACCAGTTTGGTATGTTGATGAGGTATGTTGATGGCGGTAATATATCGTAATAGAAGCAAACAAAACAAGTTGTAAACTTATCTTAAAACTGATATCATTCATACCTCTGTCATAGTTGGGGGCTGTGGATCAAATTCTGATCCCAGTAGACTCAGTAGACGTGGAGGATGTTTCCAGCATAGCCATGTCCTACCCTCCAACAATTCTACCTGGCAGTGAGAAACTCTGATGTTTATCGATGTTTATCCTACATACATTTGCCCATTGAAAGTTAGGATTTTCCAGCTAGCCATGTCAAAAATTGCTATATCATTTATTGATATATATATATATATACATCCTCTGTATATCCACTGTATCCTGGCAACGTGTTACACAGCTATGGAAAATCACCATGTTCAATCTACAAATCTAGATGGTTCATGTTGCAAAGCTATGCAACAAGATTCCCGACGGTACCACAGTATATTGTATGGTTATATGTTATATGTAGAATACAGTGTATATATATGAGAATAATGTTAGCTCCTGATTAGTAGCTAGGGTCGCTATTGTGGCATTTTTCCAAATTATTCTGAAACTCATGTATTGTTTGGAGGGCTCGCTTTTGTGGCAAGACAAATTGCCTTTCTTTTGAAAAAAAAAACTGGAATTGCTGAGAGGCATTTTTTTTCTCAAAAACGCTGTAGCTCAGTCAAGTTTTTGCTCATTTCTCTATCTGAGCCTGTAAATGCATCTCTATCTGAGTAGGTTTGTTTGCTGGGTTCACTATTGCAGCAAGCTGTGCCAGAGCAGCCCCTGGAAGCCCAGAAGGGAAGCAAGCCTTTTCCAAAGGCAATTGCCAAATTCAAACTCGAAGCCTTTCCCAAAGGAGCCAATCCCTTATTAAACCCTTATTAAAGAACAGCTTTTCCACAATATTCCAAGGCCCTGGGCCAGGAGAGGCTTCATTTCACTTTAGTAGGTTTGTTTGCTGGGCTCACTATTGCAGCAAGCTGTGCCAGAGCAGCTCCTGGAAGCCCAGAAGAGAAGCAAGCCTTTTCCAAAGGCAATTTCCAAATTCAAACTCCAAGCCTTTCCCAAAGGAGCCAATCCCTTATTAAACCCTTATTAAAGAACAGCTTTTCCACAATTTTCCAAGGCCCTGGACCAGGAGAGGCTCCATTTCACTTTAGTAGGTTTGTTTGCTGGGTTCACTATTGCAGCAAGCTGTGCCAGAGCAGCCCCTGGAAGCCCAGAAGGGAAGCAAGCCTTTTCCAAAGGCAATTGCCAAATTCAAACTCCAAGCCTTTCCCAAAAGGAGCCAATCCCTTATTAAACCCTTATTAAAGAACAGCTTTTCCACAATTTTCCAAGGCCCTGGACCAGGAGAGGCTCCATTTCACTTTAGTAGGTTTGTTTGCTGGGTTCACTATTGCAGCAAGCTGTGCCAGAGCAGCCCCTGGAAGCCCAGAAGAGAAGCAAGCCTTTTCCAAGGCAATTGCCAAATTCAAACTCCAAGCCTTTCCCAAAGGAGCCAATCCCTTATTAAACCCTTATTAAACTCCAATCCCTTACTACAAGTACTACAAGTACTACATGTACTACAAGTACTACAAGTACTACAAGCACTACAAGCACTACATGTACTACAAGTACTACAAGGACTACAAGTACTACAAGGACTACAAGTACTACAAGTACTACAAGTACTACAAGTACTACAAGTACTACAAGTACTACAAGTACTACAAGTACTACAAGTACTACAAGTACTACAAGTACTACAAGTACTACAAGTACTACAAGTACTACAAGTACTACATGTACTACATGTACTACATGTACTACAAGTACTACAAGTACTACAAGTACTACAAGTACTACAAGTACTACAAATACCACAACTTCATCGGAAAAAAACAATAGTAATTAGATTTCAATTGTAGCCAATTGAAATCCTTACTTAATTGAGGATATGTGTTTCTTTTGGGAAGAAATTTTTTGACTTTCTACTTTAAAGAGAGTCCAGATATAGTTTTGGGGGGGGGCCACACACTAATCAGGAACCAACATTAATCATCATCTACACACATGTATATATTATACCTACTCATATACCGATTAAGACCCATATAACCTATAGCCTATATGGATGGAAAATATATCATATCATCAACATGTATACATTTATATTTATATAAAATATATATACATATATATCACTACATGCACCCTGTATATCCCCTAGCCATTCCCCAGTAAGGCCGAGTGGCCGAAGGCTGCCAGGGCGCCCACCAGGCCACCCACCATGTGAGCCGTGTGGCTGATGCCATCGTCAGTGCCCCAGGCTTGGATCTGGCGCTGCTTGAATTGTTTGAGTACATATGTAGAAATATAGAGAGATATAATGATATATATATAGTATGATGGTTATATATATACATATATATATGTATATTATTATATACTATGATCATTATCAATATTGTTATTATTATGAGTATATATCTGCAACTATATATATATATATATTCTAAAAAAGTATATAAGATATATAAGTATATCTTCCAAATTCTATCTACTCCAGGCTCTGTGTGTATATATATATGTAACATTTTGTAACAACCCGCAAAAATTGTTTGAACTGTTTTTTTTGGAAAGCTGGAAATGACGGAGAAACAATCATAGTTCACTACCATCCCTGAGCCACTTGTTGGCATCTTGGGGGTACTATGAAGAAAAATCTGCAGGAAACCATTACAATAGATGGTAAAAATCATGGAAAAAAAAACATGGTTTCCAGTTAAAATTATCCCTCTAAAAAACAACAACCCATTGATGGTCGGGATTGGGCTTACCGTTTGCTCGTTGAATAGATAGCATACATAGCTATAAAACTGTAGATGGTTTGCCATAAAGTAGTGTGATTTTTCGTAGCTATGCTGAATTAGCGGGGGGTATGTGTATACTCAGTTTGTGTATATACCCCATTTTTTCAGTCGCACCCATAGTTATGCAGGGATCACTTGCGCGGGATGTTGGATGGTGTTTTTGTTGGGAAGTCACCTTAAACATGGGGATACTATAGTAGTGACTGTATTGGCTATAAAAAAAAATGATTGGAACTATTTATGAATTTATTAGACCAATAAAATTGCGGTGAGGCACCTCAGTGAATGTGAATCATAAGTGATATTGGGATACAACAATCAAAAAAAGGTAGACCCATAGTGATAGGATAAACAACTAAGGTGGGGATACAACCCAACTATATGACTCCTGTGTCAATCAAGTTCGGCAAGACGATTTGCCAGGGTTTCATGACTGATAAGCTATATAACCCCTTAGCAATCAAACCTGGCCACGAAAATCCCCGGGAGTTGATGGGGAAATCCTGGAATTTAAAACTTATATAAGTCTTATATCTTATAAATGCTGGTTGGTGGTTTTAACCATCTTGAAAAATATGAAAGTCAATTTCATATATTATGGAAAGTAAAAACATGTTCCAAACCACCAACCAGGATGGATATGAATTGTGGATTTCTCATTGCCAGGTTTGTTTTCTTAGAGGGTAACCGGGTAACCATTGATTGCTGGGATGATGGGCAGAAGTTAGAGAATGCTGAATACAGTATATCGAATACAAAAAGAAAAATAATCCATTGCTTCGAATTGTCAGTACTCACTCATTTATATAACCAGTTCAACTGATTTGTTTGTGTATAACTATCCCAAGGCCAAGAAATCACGAAATCCCAGCCTCTGGAACCAGGAAAATAATCTCAGCGAGGGGATTCAATTGAGAGTGCGCGGTTCCAATTCAGGATAAAAAGTAAGAGACATGTGAAGCTACGCTGTGTGTTATTTTGGGATTATTTTGGGAACCTGTTGGCAAAATCTGTGAAATCGGGAGTGCCATGGATATATATATATATAATTCCCAGAAGCAAAGTTCGAAGACGCCCGGAAATCGGAACAGGGGTGGGACGTTCGGAGTAACAAAACCAGTCAACCCGAAGAGGAGAAAAACCATCGAAATAGTCAAATAGGTTGAGATAAAGAATGTAAATTGGTGTCAATTTGGTATAATTACTCGCTTATTGCTGATTCAATGGGGTTGCCCCTGTATTGATCAGCCTCTCTATTGTATCTATCAAACAATCAACACCTCAATCATCGTCCTAGCTAGGATGATCCACCCTGTCATCATCGTATCATGTTAAGGTCGCTTAAATATAGTACATTATAGTACCATTATATTCCAAGTTGCCGGCAGTTCACCTATCTTTAACCATGCTAAAACACAGATTTGCCCACTTGAATATGTTTGCCAAACCTGTTACAGCCCGTTGTGTATCCTCATGATTTACCCATTCGCCAGGCAGCTACACCCAAGATGAAGGTCATCGGAATATCACCCGGTGAGTGATAGCGTCCTGTCCATCGAATCCCTGACCTCATGTCTCTTGTAAAAAGCTCTTGGCTATGGCTCACCAATCTCCCTTTGAAAGGAAGTAGATGCATGCTATACTGTGGTAAACAGGATTTTCTCACATGATTGGCCAAATCCAGTTGAGATCCTTACCACTTGCCCGAAGAAATGGAGTTTACTCTCTCGGAGCTACCTGAATACATCGGGTAAAACTTCTGTGGGGGTTCACCACACTATATACATATTAATTACATATATTATATAGAATATATTTGTATTAGTTTTCTCATATTGGATCCCAATGGTGGTATCTATGATGGCGCTT